GCTGCCCGCGCGGGGGCGGACACAGCCGGGGTGGGCGCGGCTCCCGCGCGCCCCTCACCAGCTCTGCTCCGCAGCAACGGGGCGTCGGCATGAGCGAACCGCTGGTGGACGGCGAGGGCTACCCGCGCGCCGACGTGGACCTGTACCGAGTGCGCACCGCGCGGCACAACATCGCCTGTGAGTGGCCCGGGCGCGCCGGGCCGCACTTATCCGAGAGTGCGCTGGCCGGGCCCTCTGGCCTGCGGGGCGTGGACGGGGTGCAGGGCAGGCTGTCTGCCGCCACCACGGTCTCAGGTGGACGCTTCATCCCACCCACACCAGCCCCCTAGTCGGCCGCGGCTCTCACGCGGTCACTTCTGTGGTAGGAGGCCTGCCTGCAATCGGGGCCACTTGAGCAGGACAGTCGAGCCCCTGGGGAGGACCTTGGAGGCTGCGGGCGGCTGGTCAGCGCCCAGGCTCAGTCCGCACATGGGCGCCTTCCCCTTGGGCCTTGGCCTCACCGGGCGCCAGGCTGGGGGTCGACCTTGTGGTGCTGAGCCGCCCAGCACCCTCCTTGGGGCCGCCCCGCACCCCACCTTCGCCCGCTCATGGGGTGGTCTCCAGGCCGGCCGCAGTGGTCACTGTCCCAAGAGCCTGGTTTGTGGTCCGTGTCCCCACTGGCGCCCTTGAGAGTGGAGGCCAAGGGCTTGGCGCTTCGCGTCACAGATTGCCAGTGACCAGGGCTTGAGGCTGGCCGGTGCCCCCGTGGGGGGCGTCTGGCGGAGCAGGTGCCCGCTGGGCTGCGGCCCCCCTGCCTCTGCCCAGCCGTGCCCGCCCCCAGCAGCCACTGCCCCCAGCCCACTGGCACTCGTGCCTCCTGCTTCCCCCACATAGGCCTGGGCCATGGCGCCGGCCCTCCTCCCGCACCCCCCCCCCGCGGTGCAAGCCCCTCCCTGCGTGGCCCTGTGGCACCGCTGCTCCAGCTGCCCCTGTGGCTACGTAGAGCAAGACACTTGCTGTGGGGATGGAGACAGAGCGGCATGGGCGCAGGTGGGTGCCAGGGTCATGCCACAGGGCCGTTGGTGCCCACGCTTCCCGCTCCGTCGTGCCGTCTGCTCTGCCCGTGTGAGTCCCGGCGACCCCGTCCGTGTTTTGCCACGAGACGGTTCCTGGGGGCCCGGGGATGACGCCACAATGTGCCCAGAGTACGTCTCGCACCGCCGTTCCTGCAAGATTTGGGCAAAAGCAGCTTTGCCGCCCTGATGGACCTGTGCAGGAGGTCAGGCTGGGGGCCGGACCACCCCGGGCCCAGGGGTGCAGCCCTTCCCAGTCCCGGGGGGCTGCTGGCGGTCAGCGCCGCCTGGGAAGTGCGGGCCGCTGCTGTTCTTGCGGGTGGGCGGCGCCGCCCCACCGGCTCACCCTGGCCGGCATCCCCTGACTGCTCTGCTCCCCCCAGGCCTGCAGAACGACCACAAGGCGGTGATGCGGCAGGTGGAGGAGGCCCTGCACCAGCTGCACGCGCGCGGCAAGGAGAAGCAGGCCCGGGACCTGGCCGAGGCCCAGGCGGAGGCCGCCAGCCGCTGCCCCGGCCCCAGCACCGCCCCGCCCTTCGCCAGCATCAGCAGCATCAGCCCTGGCTCCCCAGCCAGCGAAGCGGTGAGTGGCAGTCGGCGCTGAGGGCCGGGGGGCCGCCCCGCCAGGCCAGGGCTCCGGAGGGGCACAGGCAGCTGGCAGGTCTGGGGGAGGCGCCCTGGGCTGGCTGGGGCTGACATGGCCCCCCGCTGGGCCTGCTGGGAGGGGCCACGTAGGGCCGGCGCCAGGAACTCCGGCTGTGCGCAGCACGTGTCCATCACTATGGCCGCAGAGCGCCCCACTACCCTGCAAGGAACCCTGTGCCCCCCCAGCCGCCTGGCCGGCCCTCGACTCGTATCGCCGCTGCGAACACGGACCCGCCTCTCCCGGATGCTTGGCAGAGGCCGGCGCTGGCCCCGCTGCCCCTTGAGCTGGCCCTCCGCGGGGGCATGTCTGACTGGCCACTGCCCCCCAGGCCTGAGCCCACGCCTGCTCTCCGCCCGCAGGGCCTGCAAGTGGGCGACCAGGTCGTGGAGTTCGGCTCCGTGAACGCCCGGAACTTCCAGTCGCTGCACAACGTCCGGAGCGTGGTGCAGCGCAGCGAGGGGGTAAGTCGGCCGGCGGTGGTGCCCGGAGAGGCAGCTGTGCCCTGGCGGGGCGACGGGGACGAGAGGATGCCCCAGGGGCGCAGTGGGGAGCGGACAGGCAGGACCCAGGTGCCAGTGGGTTGGGAGCGGCCATTTCCCAGCCAGCCACACTTGGACCCTGGTGGCGACAGCCTGAGACTGACTCGCAGGCCAGCAGGCGTGGGTGTCCACCCTGGTGCCCCGGCCCCTGGCTGCCAGCCTGTTCTGGGCACACGAGCACCACGCGGCCCACGACCTGGTGCCTTCTCTGGGGAGGCCTGCCCTGCCAGCCCCCAGCCCACGCTGCTGGGCTGTCACCGCGGCAGCCCCGGCCCTCTGGCAGCCCCGCCCGGACTCCCTGGTGTGCCCCTGGACTCCCCGGGCCGGCTCTGTGGGAGCCGTGGTCTGAGGGTCTCTGTGTGGGGACACCACTGGCGCCTTCCTGCAACCCTGGGAGACGGCCCCTGGTGCTTACTCAGTGGGCGCACCCCCCCCCCCGCATGGCGGGGTTCAGGGGGGCACAGCGGGCCGGGTTCAGGCTGCAGGCACGGGCTGGGAGCACCCCAACCGCTGCCTGAAGCCAAGGGCCTGGGCACGGAAGGGCGGCGCTTCTTGCAGAAAGCCCTGGACGTGACGGTGGTCCGCGGAGGGGAGCGGCAGCAGCTGAGGCTCGTCCCGAAGCGCTGGGCCGGGAAGGGGCTGCTGGGGTGAGCGCTGCGGCGCCCCGCGGGCAGAAGCGCAACCGTGCTGCGGGCGGGCATGGGCGGGCGGGCAGGCGCCCCAGGCCCAGAGCCCTCTCCCTCTCTTTCCTCCCACAGTTGCAACATCGTCCCTCTGCCAAGATGACCACCTGGGTCGGGCAGGCGTCCCCTGGGCCCTGCCTCCAGGCCCCTCCCCTCCGCGCAGCAGTCAAGGCTCTGGAGGAGGCGGCAGGCCCAGCCTTGCGGGGGGCACTGTGCCCGTGCCACCCCGGTGTCCAGGTGTCGTGGAGGCCTCCCCGTGCGGCCCCTTTGCAGCTGGCCGTGGCCACGTGGTGTGGACTGGGCAGGGCACAGCGCTTGTCTGCAGGTGCCGCGGGGACCTCGCTCTGTCGGGACACTCCCCCAAATAAAGTCTCAAGCTCTGTGGCCGTGGTACCCCCAGACGAATCACTTCTGGACCTCAAAAACCCAAGCCAACGAGCCAGAGCACCAGGCCGGCCACAGCTGTGCCCGGTCAGGGCTGGACGGGGTCGGGGCTGGACACGTGGGCTGGCGTGGGGAGGGGCCTCTGGCGCTGCTGCCCGCGAGGGGGCAGGGCTCCTGGTGTCCCCGCCTGCACCCCCCCTCCCGGCACAGTGGCCACTTCGCATCTGAGTCCCTGGTCCACGCGTCTTTCGTCCCCAAGGGCGCGAGGGGTTGTGCTCGGAGCCGGGCGCCGTGGATGCTGCCCGCTGCCCGCGCGCCCTCAGTGGCCAACGAGGGCCTCGCCGTTTGCTGCTGGAAGGGCTGACAGTGCCCTGCGAGGGGTGCGAGCTTGCTTGCCGCCGGCCGGAGCACCCCGAGGTGGCTGACAGGTGCCTGCCCCAGCGCGGTTCCCGCGTCCGAGCGGGGCCGGGGGAGGGCTGGGGGGCGAGGGCCACTGGGGGCGGGCAGGCGGCAGCCCAGTGGGTGGGCACGTGAGTCCGCCAGCACCCGCACCTCAGCGCCTTCCCCCAGCCTCGCTGTTGCTCAGCCAAGCAGAGGAGGCGGCAGGTCCCGCCCGCGGCCAGCAGGGGGCGCGCGGGGGACGGCCGGTGGTAACAGTAACTAAGGCGCCGAGGGGCAGGCAGCGGCCGCGGAGACCTGGCTGAGGCCGAGGGGTGCAGGCGGCTCGAGGGCCCAGTGGGCACGCTGTGAGTCAGGGGCCCAGGGACACCCCGCGGGGCGCCCCGGGACACCCCGGGCTGGGGAAGAGGCGGCGCTGGGGACTGTGGACGGGGCCCTGGCCCCAGAACCCGCCGGCCCCGCCCCAGGGTCCCTGCGGAGTTGGCCTAGAGCCCCCCACCCCGCAGAGTAGGTCCAGAGCCCCCCACCCCAGCGGAGTGGGCCCAGAACCCCCCACCCCTGCGGAGTGGGCCCAGAGTTCCCTGGGACCCTGCGGAGTGGGCCCAGAGTTCCCCGGGACCCTGCGGAGTGGGCCCAGAAGTCCCTGCCCAGACACAGACTCCCACTGCGGCTCAGACCTGGGGTTCACGGGCAACTGGGGTGCGCTGGCCTCGCCATGGGCAACTCCGACCGGCCCGAGGGGGGCCTGCGAGAGTGAAGGGCACCGACTTAAAAGGAGCTCAGGATGTGGGGGGCCCGCAAACCCCACTGTGGGCCTCCGGCTGTCGCAAGGTGTCCAGCGCCTGCCACAGCTGCTCGCCCCCCCGGACAGGGGACCCCTGCTGGGACGCGAGCCTCGAGGTTTGGGGCAGGGGTCCCAGGAGGAGCCAAGATGGCGCCCTTCATTGGTAGGTTAGTGCGTAGGCACCCCAAAATGGGAAACGGCCTGCTGCTTATTATGGCTGAACTTCCAGCAGAAACACCACAAGAAGATGTCCGACGCAGAGGAAAACCCAGTGGAAAAGGGGGTAGAAGATGGAGGCACGGCAGTGGGGGGCGCGCAAGGAGGAGAGCAGGGGGCAAACCGGGAAGTAGAGAGCAGGCGGCAGGAGCCCGCAGAAGGCGGCACTTCAGCCTGGGGACCGGCTGGGGG